GTCGTTGCATTCGATCCATTTTGCTCCTGAATCGTCCAATGTGTCGTCCAACGATGATTGGAGAGAACGGGAACGGAAACCGGTGCCACGTTTCACGGCGAAAAACAAGAAGATGAAATAATATAAAGAAAGGAAGAGAAAGAGAGATTTCACATGTAACTAATGTATATACGCGTGACGAAACAGAAAGACGCCGACATTTCGCGACGACACACCTCTTTCTTTGAATTCACGTGGAATTGAGGCGCTTCTTGTTGAGAGCTACGATCGTTTCTTGGAGGCATAAGTCAGGAAAAAAAAAAAAAGAAAAAAACAAAAGCAAAACGAAAATGATCGTTTATCGATAAATTAGTTCATCCTGTAGAACGGACGAACGGTGAGCATATTTCCTTCTCGAGGAGTCGACGAGGAAACGGTCACAATTCTACACGAGACGAAGCGAATTTGTTGATACACGTTGATTTATTTGACTTGCCCCACCGAGAGAGGATCGTGTTGAAGAGCGATCTTGCTTTGCTCCGGCAGATTCGACTTTATCCCTTCTTGTTATTTTTCGGCGAGACGATTCAGACGAGTGTGAGAATCCGTACGAGGTATAAATACATTACATGTTCGAGCTAGTCTAGCCGCTACGATAAGGGTAGTTTGTAAGCGTCAGGCGAGGGTAACGGATGAACGTTCGTGTCTCCATTTATAAAGTAGCCGATAAACAACTCTTATTTTGTATCTTACCACGAACTTTTTATATTACTTTCACGTAGAATTCTTGTGAAGGAATGACTATGCCTATAATAAGCTCGAAGTTCGTTGCGCATGGCAAGGTTCCGCGTGAAAGTATAAAGTAAAACTGAGGGCGAATTTCGAAGTTATTAGAAGCGCAGAGGAGAAGACAGATCGTTCGTGAGAATGAGAGGGACGCTCGGCGTGAAATTGAGAAGAAGTGAAAGTGAAGTAAGGAAACGTTTCGTTCCCTCTGTGCTTGTGATAAATTTGGCATTCGCTTGTTGCTCTTATTTTGCTTCGAGTTCTCTTTTTTATTTCGCTTTCGCGTAGAATTTTTATTTCTATGCTTGTAATAAATCTGAAATTTACTTTTACTTTTATTCTACAGTTTGCATTTTTATTTCACTTTCAAACAGAATCCTCCTTTCTATTGCTTCTTCTAAAACTTGTGATTTGCTTCTATTTTTGTTTCATTGTTTTTCGTGCAAGCCTCCCCTCTCTTTCACTCCCCTCCCCCCTCCCCCCTCTCCACCGCTCTAGTGCTTGCAATAAACTTAAAATTCGCTTCTACGATAAGTTTCTTGGAGGTTTTTTATTATCTTCGTATAACGAAGAGATTAATTTAATTATTTCGTACGAGAAGATTTTATTTTAATTGTTATAAAAATGGGGAACGTGCCGTGCAAACTGGTATCGTGCAAAAGGATCCCCTTTGCGTCACATCGATTGCCATCTCTGTCGTTCGCGCGACATATGACAAAAGAAAGAAACAAGCATTCTAATCGCGGAGCGACGAAAGAA